ATTACTACTGAATATATATTCATTCTCTAACTGGTCTTCTTGGAACTCTTCTTTAAACCATCTTCTTGCAACTATGCCATTAATTGGCTAATAAAATAAAAAAACAATCAGCTGGCAATCTATATTAATATATAATTATGCAAAAAAAAAAAATCAAACAATAAGTGATACTAACTAGCCAAGCGCGGGCGAAGTGTTTATCTACATCTCTTTGAAGAGCAGATGCTTGTTCGTAATTGCTCCATTGCTCCTCAATGGTATTCAAACTGTCAAATTTTTTATCCATTAGGATTCTGCCACACCATTTAAAAAAAAAATCCACATTTTCATAACGTATATTGTGTAGCTAATTTAAATGATAAAGAAATCAAAACAATCAGCTACAATGTATATTATAATGCAAAGAAAATCAAATAAATACTAACTTTAATATATGATCTCATACATTTTATTAATCTTTTTACTCGTCAATGCTCATTATGCTTGAGTTCACGCCGTAGAATGGCTAAGGTTTCTGGTCCAAACTGTTTTCTCAAAGCCCAAACTAGTTTGGGCAATTTGGGCTCCTCAACATTTTTTATAAGCATGAACATTAAAAAACTATATGAATCAACTTGTTTTAACTTAAACAACTTTAAAATAATTTCGCCCAATTTCGGCTAATAACAAAAAGTAGTTTGGGCTTATAAAAAAATAAATTTTGCCCAAAGTATTTGGGCAATTTCAGCTACTAATAGAAGTAGTTTCGACCAGAAACCTTAAGAATGGCACCACGAGTGCGACTATGATGATGACTTTTTCCCATCTATTAATATTAATTTTAATATAAATATGGGGTTAGCAAATGCCAAGCAAGTTTAGGAATCGATAAGAAAATACAAATAATAATAATAAAAAACAGAACAACTCCCCAACCCTAATCATAATGTTCTAGGGATACAGCCGTATATCACAGCCATGTCCTTTGAACACATGCTTAATATTAAAGCAATCAAAATCAAATAAAAAAAAAAATGAAAAAAACATCATGTTCTAGAGATACAGCCGTATGTCACAGCCATGTCCTTTTGAACACATGCTTAATATTAAAGCAATCAAAATCAAATAAAAAAAAACCAAAAAAAACATCATGTTCTAGGGATACAGCCGTATGTCACAGCCATGTCCTTTTGAACACATGCTTAATATTAAAGCAATCAAAATCAAATAAAAAAAAAACGAAAAAAACATCATGTTCTAAGGATACAGCTGTATGTCACAGCCATGTCCTTTCGAACACATGCTTAGAGCGAACAAAATCAAATGATAATAATAAATAAAAATAAATAATAATAATATATATATAACAATTAATAAATGGAAGACTTGCCTTTTGAATTTTTTTTAGTATTTACAAATCGAAATATATATTAAAGAGTAATAGTAAATGTGATTTAGATATATAATCTTTCTCATCATTGTTTTCTTTATGTCGTACAACATAATCACATTTATCACAAGTGATCGTCAAATTGTGATATAAAACGAATTTCTATCATGATCATTGGTATAGGAATTGATATGATCCATATACCACGTATTTATAGATTAATCAATAAAAATAGACCATTAAGATTGGAACAACAAAATCAACATCAATCACCAATAATAACTTTTGAAGAAAGATTTTCAAAAAGAATATTGAATGATTATGAATTGACACAATTAAATAACGAATTATCATCATTACCATTTGATTTTTTTAACGTTAACAAAGAATTGTTTTATAACCATGTTTCTAAATTTTTGGCTGTTAGGTAAATTGTTTGTTGAATCGTTATGAAATAATTTTGAGAATTGATATTGATTGATTGATTGATTGATTGATTAGTTAATTAATTAAAAGATGGGCATTAAAAGAAGCAACTTATAAAGCAATTTACCCAATGTACAAATTAACATGGAAAGAAATTACTATCAAGAAAATTGAAGGTTTTATTATTTAATTAATTTTAATTAATAATTCAATTAATTAATTTAATGACAAAAATTAATTAATTAACACAAACTAATTTCAACAGGTGCTAAACCAAGTGTTTACTTAAATGTCAATAACAACAACAACAACAATAATAACAATGACATTATTGATTTTATTAAGACAATAAAGATTCATTGTTCAGTTTCTCATGAAAAAAATTTTGTTATTTCTCAAGTAATTATTGAAAAGTGAAAAAATCAGTCAATATCTTTATGGGATCACTCCCAAGTCCATTGTTTGGTACATGTTAATTCATTTCATAGCTTGGATTCTCTCACATTTTCACTCTTTATACTTGGTTGTTCATTAATTTATTCAAATGCACCAAAACAATTCTTTTAAAATATGATTTTGTTTTTTCAATTATATCTTTCAATTCTTGTAACATTTCCATGATATCGTTGGAATGTTTAGTAACAATAATCATCATTAGTTGTCCTAATTTTTGATTTTCTGGTTTTTTTTCAATATTAAAATCCAAGTATTTTAAAAATCTTGACAATATCTCTTCTGGTTCATTCAATAATTGGAATTTTTGACTAAAAATAGAAATGTAAATGTCAATCATGGCATCATCCCAATCCTCAAAACGTTTAGAAACACCTTCATCTTCGCCTTCGTATTGCTGTTGCTCTAAATGATTAGGCACAAGATCTCTAAATGATTAATCAGTTAAATAATTAATTAATAAAAATATGTATGTGCTTAAAAATAATGATATTGTTGTTGTTGTTTTACTTTAATAAATCAATAATAGAAGATTCATTCATTCCTCCTTGTGTAATTGTACTAGTAATAATTTGCAATTGTAGTTGACCTTTTTCATATGTGTATGTATAAACATAATATAAGTGTGAGAGTATATATATTGTTAAAAATTTTTTTTTCAAAAATCAAATAAGATACGATACCTATTTCAGAAGGTTGTTTGATTAACGGTAAAAGTAATCCATATACCAATGGTTTACTCTTGATATGAGCAATTTTCAAAATTGTAGACAATAAGTAACGTGAAGGACTTGATTTCAGCATACATAACTAATCAAATACATTGTCATTGTTATTAATTAATACAGTAAATAATAATAACAACGAATTAAAACAATAAAAATACTTTTTCTAGAAGGATCCATTTTAATAAAGCCACATAAGTTTTATAAGTAATATCATTATATTTTATAAGTTCCTCACACATCATAATAAGAATTTCTTCATCAAATTTTGATATTTTCAATTCTTCACAGATTAGAAGAAGCTAATAATTCAATAATTTGTATATAAATACATATAAATAAATATAAACGTGTCATCTGATTTATTTATTTTTACCTGAGCATATGGAATTCTAATAAAGTTTTTGAATTCTATCAAAAACTCTTTGATGTCTTTCTCATGAATATGATTATTATTATTTTTTTGAATTATCTTTTCAATTTTTGATCTTAAATTTTCTTTTAATGTTGTTATCTCCACACCACCTGTTGACGTAGCTTTTGATGTAGCTGGTGGTGTGACTGTTGGTGTTACTACTGTGGCTTTTGAATTACTTGTTGATAAAGTCGTTGAAAGTGAAGGTGAAGATGGTGTTAATAATGATGTTGATGTTTCTGCCCGATTTTTTATTTTATTTTAATTAGAACAAAACCCAAATGAAATTCTTAAATATTTTATATTATTCTATAGAAAATACAAACTTTTTACCTGAATCCTTATCATAATCACTTTTAATTTCAGATTGAATATAATTCAACCCTCTCTTAATATTTCGACGTGATGCTATATATTCTTTAGATACGTGTAAATTTTATGACAAAATAATAAATATATGCATATTTCTGTAAGAATAGAAAATACTTGGAAAAAGAAAATCATTATTTAAAAAAAATTTTTTAAAGAAGGATATAAATATTGGTTCGTTATCAATATCAATTGGATTTTTATCAATAAAATCTTCATTAAACGCGTTATTTAATGCTATGTAAATAAAATAGATGATAATAAAAATTATTTTTATTTTCTTAATTTTCTATGATTTAATAATAATAGTAATAGTTGACATATTACGAATTATTTGTTTTATTTCATTCCTAAAATTTTTCCATTCTTCATAATTTGTATCAAATTTTTTGAAAAAGCTTTTAAATATAGGATCAAGAGGGAATTTATTTTTATTTATTGAAAGTTCAATTTGCCATTGTTCTCGTAAATTCAAATTATTAGTATAAGTTGTTTGTTCATTAGATAATGATGATGAGTCAAGTGATGGATTTGTCCGTGTATTTTCATTTACAGAAGAAGTTTGTAAAGGCATCACTTTTTTTTAAAAAAGTTGAGAAGAGCCAACGTCACACACAATTGTACTACTAACATTAACTGCTTCTCGTCCATTTTGTCAGAGATTGCATACAAAATAACGAGTAATTAATATCTTTATTGTTATTGTAAAGATATTCTTGATGTCTATTATGATCTATAATAATGGGTGTTGATATGGGAAATGATAAGGCTTTAATAATTTTTATGATAGTAGAATTTCTAGTTTCCATGGCGGAAGGGTACAAGCTCGCCAGCAGCAGAGCAATAGCGGCAAGAACATTAATATTATTTTATTATTTTCTTGGATATGAATATAATAATTTTAATAATAATGATAATAATGATAATATAACAACAGTAGCAAATATGTTTTATCTTTTCAAATACTTTTATCTAATACTAAGAAACTATTAATAATTTCATTCAATTCTTCATATTGATTCATGAGAGATTAAATATCTTTTATTACAAAACATTATCCACGCACACTCTCTCTCTTATTAAAAACAACAAAGAAATTAATGTAAAATCGTGAAACGTACAATATCTTTAGCATCTTTTAACGTTTGTAACCAAAAATTAATTGATATTTTCAAAAGTAAATTTCTTTCTTCACTTTTTAAAATGAAAGAATCAAAACGCGTTCGAATTGTCTTTAGAGCAACTTTTACATGCATACGAGTTATGTTAATTTGATTTTTTTGACATTGAAATTAATTACGCGTAATAATAATAAATACGTAATAATATTAATAATAAAATAAAATACTTTTTACATCATATATAAAACAGGTTTGGGTACAAAGAAAAAAAGAGAATACTAAAATTCTTTTATTGTTTAAATCACTAGAATCACGATGAATCAATCTCTAGAGTTTATGTCAAAGTTTTTCTTTAAATCATGCAATTTTTATTTGTAGCTAGCATGAAAAGAGCATACACTAAGAAATAAATCAACAAGCCCAAGAAATTCAGCAACTAAAACAAGAATCATATTTAGCCAATAAACCTTTACCAGTATTATCAAGAGAAAATAACAAACTACAAAGAATTACAAAATGATAAGTGAGAAAATTCACCTAAAAGAGAAACCATTTCTTTTATTGATTATGATTTTTCTTCCTTCCTGGTAAATTTCATAGGTTATTTTCTCTTTCCTTGGACAGTTTTCAAGTATCTGTGTGTCATTTATTTTTAAAACATAATTTATTTTTCAAAATACTTCTAATGGTGGGTTCCATAGTAGATCTGTTGTAAATATGACTAAATTTTGGTCCCTGTAATTTGCATGAAACAATGTTCACTTTGTTGTAGCATGCCCTATGTGATATTCGAAATCAAAAATTAGATACTAGTCTTAAGTTGGTTAGTTAGTTTTTCAATGATCGACCTTTTAAAAATTGCAAGCTTTAAAAAGGAAAACTTTAGATCAATCAAGAGAATGGGGTAGTAATCGTGGACGTCATTCATTTCTCAAAGATATTGAAGCAAGTGAAAAAATGCTTGAAATAAATCATGACCTTCGTCTCACCATGAATCGTTTTGGTGAATTCTGCTTGTGTATTCTCAAATCACTCGAAATTAAGGCTGATAACCAAGGTCCTAAATTTTCGGTAGTTGAAGAGAATAGAGCCGCTGGCATAATTTCTCTTGACCCAGGGATGATGACCAATTGATGAAGGTTATAGAATGGGGAAAAAAGGATATTAGTAGAATACATCGCTTGTGATAGAATCCAAGGTGAAAGGGATTCTATTCATGGCAAAGCAAATAAGCGTAGGATGCCCCGAATCCACAAGAAAATTCGTAATCTTGTGGATGAATGTCATCAAAGATTAGCAAAATGGTTGTGGGAAAACCACCATATAGTTTTGCTCCCCGAGTTTAAAACAAAAGACATGGTTAAAAATGCGGTCCTACTCTAAAACTACAAGATAAATGGTTGACCTGTTCATATTACCGTGTTCGCTAACGCTTGATCTAAAAACCCGCGAGCACCCTTGGTGCAAGGTCGTTATCTGCGCTGAGGAATACTATGGTTGGCTCGGTCTAAAGACCTCCTATTGCTGCCCCCATGCGGCCAAATTTCAAAATAGCAATTTTGTAATTCGTTCAAAAATGTAATAAAATTTTTCAAAAAATAGGACTT